GATACTGGTGAGCCTACTGCTCTAGGTGCTAGTGCGTCTGCCGCTCCAGGTGCTCGCGTGTCTGCTACCCCAGGTGATGGTGAGGCTGCTGCCCTAGGTGCTAGTGCGTCTGTGCCCCCTGGTACTGAGTCGACTGCAGCACTGCACACCTTCACACTGGACTCAGGTGCTTCTCGCTCTTTCTTTCGTGACCGCACTGTCCTTGAGCCACTCGCTCGGCCAGTTGCTGTCTCTCTTGCTGACCCCTCAGGGGGTCCGGTCATTGCGACCTCCTCCACTACACTTCCGTGTCCAGCGGTTCCGTCCGGCACGCTCTCAGGTCTCTACCTCCCCTCGTTCTCTACGAACTTGGTGGCGGGCTGTGCTCTGCAGGACGGGGGTGTTCACCAGTTCACCCCTGCCTACGAGCGTGTGACACATTGCACGTGTGCTCGGACGGGCCGCCACCTGGCTACTTTCACTCGGGAGCCGGGGTCGGACCTGTACACACTGACCACTGAGTCCCCTCAGGTGGCTGCGTCTGCGTCTGCGTCAGGTCAGCTGTCCGCCCCCTGCTCATGTCGCTCTCTGGCGCATGAGACTGTCCTCTGGCACCACCGCCTTGGTCACCCGTCTGTGCAGCGCCTTCGGGCCATGCACAAACGGGACCTTGTTGCTGGTCTTCCCAGGGTGCTCCCTCCCCTTCCCGACTCCCCTGCTCCTGACTGCATTCCCTGTGTCGAGGGGCGGCAGCGCGCCGCTCCTCACTCCTCCTCCTTTCCCCCGACGACTGCTCCCTTGCAGACGCTCCACATGGACGTGTGGGGCCCAGCCCGCGTCCGTGGTCAGGGTCAGGAGAGGTACTTCCTGATAGTTGTTGACGACTACTCGCGCTACACCACGGTCTTCCCCTTGCGCGCCAAGGGTGACGTCCCTGGTGTTTTGATCCCCTGGATCAGCCGAGCCCGTCTCCAGCTAGCCAAGCGCTTTCACTCGGACTTTCCTGTCCTGCGCTTGCACTCTGACAGGGGTGGTGAGTTCGCCTCCGACCTCTTGGCAGCCTACTGTGCTGAGCACGGCATTGAGCAGTCGTTCACGCTTCCGGCCTCTCCACAGCAGAATGGGGTCGCTGAGCGCCGCATTGGCTTGGTCATGGAGGTCGCTCGTACCTCCCTGACCCATGCGGCTGCTCCCCACTTTCTGTGGCCGTTTGCGGTCCGGTACGCAGCGCATCAGCTCAACCTCTGGCCCCGTGTCTCCTTGCCGGAGACTTCCCCGACTCTACGGTGGACGGGAGAGGTTGGCGATGCGTCGCGTTTCCGGGTCTGGGGATCTCGAGCTTTTGTCCGCGACACGTCCGCGGACAAGCTCTCGCGTCGCGCTGTTCCCTGTGTCTTTCTTGGCTTTGTTCCCGACGCGCCTGGTTGGCAGTTTTACCACGTCACCTCGCGCCGGGTTCTGGCCTCTCAGGACGTCACTTTTGACGAGTCCGTCCCCTTCTACCGCCTCTTCCCCTACCGCACTGCCCCGCTCCCCCCCCCGCCTCTCTTCCTCGCTCCAGGTGCTGAGGTACCAGACCCCCTCCCCCCTCAGGGTGCCGCTCCCTCAGGTGTGTCCCAGGTAGACCCGGGTGAGCCTGTCGAGGTAGCTGTTGACTCGCGTCCTGCGTCTGGGGGTGCTGAGCCTGGGAGTACTGCGTCTGAGGGTGCGGAGCCTGGGGGTGCTGAGTCTGGAGGTGCGGAGCCTGGGGGTGCTGAGCCTGGAGGTGCGGAGCCTGGAGGTGCGGAGCCTGGGGGTGCTGAGTCTGGGGGTGCTGAGTCTGGGGGTGCTGAGCCTGAGCGTGCTCCACCTGGAGGAGCCCTCTCCTCCCAGCAGCTGCAGGAGAGGTACCTCGAGTACTGCCGCCTCCCGAGAGGTGCTTCTGGAGCTCGTCCCGGTACTTCCCCTCCTACCCAGGAGCTCCCCCCCATTCAGGTGATCCGCGAGTGGTACACGCGGCGCTGCAGTCTTCGTAGTGGTGCTCCTGGTGCTGCGGACCCGAGCAGTGGTGCTGTTGCTGGTGCTGAGGACCCGGACGCTGGAGCTGCTGCTGGTGCTGAGGACCTGGGGGCTGGAGCTGCTGCTGGTGCTGAGGACCCGACCGGTGGCGCTGCTGCTGGTGCTGAGGACTCGGGCGTTGGAGCTCCTACTGGTGCTGAGGACCCGGGCGTTGGAGCTGCTGCTGGTGCTGAGGACTCGGGCGTTGGGGCTGCCACTGGTGTCCCTGCTGCTTCTGGAGACGCTGCGCGGCCGCGACCGTACTTCGTACCGCTCCTTCAGCAGGTTCTTGGTCAGGCTCCTCCTCCTAGTCCTCCTCCCTCCGTCGAGTGTCCTCTGCCTGTCCAGCCGCAGTCACAGTTACCGCCTGCCTCGCCTCTCCCTGCTCCCTCCCCTTACGCTGGTCCCACAGGAGGTCTTACAGAGCGTCGTGAGCCTGAGTCTCGTCCTGCGTCGCCTGTTCGTACTGCTCGCACTGGTCGTCGTGTCCCACGTGAGCGTCCTCCTCCTGTCCCTGGCACTCACTACATGACTCTGCGTCCCTCCACTGCTCCGCAGCGTGTCCCGCTGCCGTCTCCTCCAGCGTCCTCTCTTCCTACTCTTCCTGACCCGGAGTCTGACTCCCGTCGTGCTGCCAGTCCCACTGTTACGCGTCTCCTCGCTACAGTTGTCACTGACCCGACCTTTGAGTCCTCTGCTGCGTCTGCTCTGGTCGCTGAGTTGGTTGACTTTGCTGCTCGCTGTCGCCTAGACTACGCTGCCAGCCTTGTCGCTAGGTCTGAGTCTGCGTCTGCCTGTCCTCCGTCCGTCGGGGGTGAGTGTGCCCTCGGCACGGACGTCCTTGAGGACAGGAGGAGTTCCACTGCCTTGCTGCTGCTTTGCCCCGTCTCGTGTCCTTGCTAGTTGCCCCTGAGGGAGACCCGGATGCACCAGACATCCCGACCCCACGCTCTTACGCTGAGGCGATGGCGGGTCCCTACTCCTCTCAGTGGCAGACAGCCATGGACGCAGAGATGGCCTCCTGGAAGTCCACAGGCACCTACGTAGACGAGGTTCCCCCTCCTGGGGCGAACATCGTCAGTGGCATGTGGATTTTCAGGGTGAAGCGGCCGCCGGGTTCTCCACCTGTCTTCAAGGCGCGCTACGTGGCTCGAGGCTTCAGTCAGCGAGAGGGAGTAGACTTCTTTCAGACCTTCTCCCCCACCCCGAAGATGACTACTCTTCGGGTGCTGCTGCACATAGCCGCTCACCGCGACTACGAGCTTCACTCTCTTGACTTCAGCACTGCTTTCTTGCAGGGCAGCCTGCACGAGGAGATCTGGCTGCGCCGCCCCCCTGGCTTCACTGGGTCAGTTCCTCCTGGCACCCAGTGGAGGCTTCAGCGGCCGGTCTACGGTCTCCGCCAGGCGCCACGTGAGTGGCACGACACACTGAGGACGACACTTGCGGCTCTTGGGTTCGCTCCCTCTACTGCTGACCCGTCGCTGTTTCTACGCACCGACACCTCGCTGCCGCCGTTCTACATCCTCGTGTACGTCGACGACTTGGTCTTTGCCACTGCTGACACCGCGGCACTCGCTCACGTGAAGTCGGAGCTGCAGAGGAGACACACGTGCACAGACCTGGGTGAGCTGACGAGCTATCTTGGCTTGCGGATCACCCGGGACAGAGCACGGCGCACCATCACCCTGACTCAGTCACACATGGTGCAGCAGGTTCTCCAGCGCTTCCGCTTCACGTACTCCTCGCCTCAGTCCACTCCTCTGCCTACCGGTCACTCGCTCTCAGCTCTGCCTTCGGATGAGTCCGTAGAGCCGAGTGGCCCGTATCCAGAGCTTGTGGGCTGCCTCATGTACCTGATGACCTGCACTCGACCTGACCTTGCATACCCTCTTAGCATCCTAGCACGCTATGTCGCTCCTGGCCGTCACCGGAAGGAGCACATGGATGCTGCTAAGAGGGTGTTGCGCTACTTGTGCAGTACGTCGGGCATGGGGCTTGTGCTTGGAGGGCGAGACCGGGTTGTTCTCACAGGGCACTCAGACGCTTCTTGGGCAGACGACCAGGCTACTCAGCGGTCGTCCCAGGGTTACACCTTCAGCCTTGGCTCTGGCTCAGTTTCTTGGCGTTCTACTCGCTCTTCTTCTGTTCTCAGCTCCAGTTGTGAGGCTGAGATCTACGCCACAGCCATGGCTGCTCAGGAGCTACGCTGGCTGACCTACCTGCTGACCGACCTCGGAGAGCGGCCTCGTTCTCCTCCAGTGCTGTACGTCGACAACAAGGCTGCCATTGCCTTGTGTGAGGAGCACAGACTGGAGCACAGAACGAAGCACATCGCTCTGCGGTACTTCCTTGCTCGAGAGCTGCAGCAGCGTGGTCAGCTTTGTCTGCGTTACGTGGCCACGGAGGCCAACACTGCTGATGTGTTCACCAAGGCGCTTCAGCCTTGTGACCATCAGCGCTTTTGCACGCTGCTAGGCCTTGTACCTACTGGGCCTCACTTGCTTACCTCTTGACCTTGCTTGTACTGTGATCACTATATATATATGCCTACTTGTTTACTTTTGCTAGGTTGTGATCACTGTATCTCTTGCTTTGTTATAAACCTGCATGTGAACTGGTCTTGTGACCGCTTGCTTGTGCTCGGAATTTGTGTGGAATCCTTGAGATCCACCCTGAGCTTGCTTTGCTTTGCTTTGACTGGTCTTGTGACCCTGTGGTTGTCTCCCACTGCGCCTATGGGGGTGTGTCAAACATTGCATGTTTATATTATGTAGGCTGTAGTGGGTTACACCTTAGGGGGTACTCAAAGTTAGGGTTTCCTACTTGTACCAAACTCTGTGCTAGTTCATCCCATTCCTGCTCAGTTATTCTGACAGCAGCGACGTGTCGGTGTGCAGAAACAGCGACGGGTCAGCAGTGGAAGGAGCAAACCCAAGAGCCGCAAGTGTCGTCCTCAGTGTGTCGTGCCACTCACGAGGCGCCTAGCGGAGACCGTAGACTGGCCGCCGGAGGCTCCACTGGGTACCAGCAGGAAACGACCCAGTGAAGCCAGGTGGGTGGCGCAGCCAGATAACCTCGTGGAGGCTGCCATGTAAGAACGCTGTGCTGAAGTAAAGAGAGTGAAGCTCGTAGTCACGCTGAGCGGCAACGTGCAGCAGCACCGAAAGAGTGGTCATCTTTGGGGTAGGGGAGAAGGTCTGAAAGAAGTCAACTCCCTGTCGCTGACTGAAACCTCGTGCAACGTAATGAGCCTTGAAGACAGGCGGAGAACCCAGCGGCCGCTTCACCCTGAAAATCCACATGCCATCGACTATGTTCGCCCCAGGAGGGGGAACTGCATCGACGTAAGTGCCTGTGGACTTCCAGGATGCCATCTCTGCGTCTATGGCTGTCTGCCACTGAGAGGAGTAGGGACCCGTGATCGCCTCTGCGTAAGAGCGCGGGGTCGGGATGTCCAGTGCATCCGGGTCTCCCTCAGGTGCAAGCAGCCAGGCCACAAAATGAGGTACAGCAGCCGCAAGACACTCAAGGTCCTCGTGCCTGTCCTCAAGGACGTCCGTGCCAAGAGCACACTCACCCCCGACGGACGGAGGACAGACAGATTCAGACTCAATAACAAGAATGGCGGCGTAGTCTATACGACACGCAGCATCAAAGTCCACAAGCTCAACAACTAAGGCAGACGTAGCAGTCGACTCAAACGACAGGTCAGTTACAATAGTAGCCAGGAGACGGGTGACAGTAGGGTTGGCAGCACCAACACGGTAAGACTCAGGGTCCGGAACCTCAGGAAGAGAGGACGCAGGATGAGACGGCAGAGGGACGCGCTGTGGAACAGAGGAAGGACGAAGTGCCATGGTGTGAGTGCCCGGCACAGGAGGAGGACGCGGACGCGGGACACGACGAGCACGGCGAACAGTGCGAACAGGGGAGACAGGACAAGACTCAGGCTCACGACGCTCTGTAAGGGAGACCGGCTGCTCAGTGTAACGAGGCGGGGAAGGCAGTGGTGAGGCCGGAGGAAGGGCAGTGGACGAAGGAAGACTAAGAACTTGACGGAGCACCGACTCGGGTGGAAGATCGGACAGCTGCAGCGGTGGCAAGAAAAACGGTTGCTGCTACACAGGGCCTCCAGCACCTCTAGCTCCAGCTTCTCCAGCAGCAGCGCTGCCAGCGCTAGTGCCTCCAGCTCCAGCGCTTCAGCTCCAGCACCTCCAGCTCCAGCACCTCCAGCTCCAGCGCCTCCAGCTCCAGCGCCTCCAGCTCCAGTGTCTCCAGCTCCAGTGTCTGCAGCTCCAGTGTCTGCAGCTCCAGCGCCTCCAGCTACAGCGCCTCCAGCTCCAGCGCCTTCAGCTACAGCGCCTCCAGCTCCAGCGTCTCCAGCTCCAGCGCCTCCAGCTCCAGCGTCTCCAGCTCCAGCGCCTCCAGCTCCAGGGCCTTTAGCTCCAGCGCCTCCAGCTCCAGCGCCTCCAGTACTAGTGCCTGCAGCTCCAACGCCTCCAGTGCCAAGGCCTCCAGCTCCAGCACCTCTAGCTCCAGCTCCTCCAGCTCCAGCGTCCCCAGCGCCATTGCCTCCAGCTCCAGCGCCCCCAGCTCCAGTGACTCCGAAGGTGGGTGCGCCGAGCAAACCACTCGCGCAGCTGCTGTGGTGAGAGAGGCTCTCGCTGGCTACACCGTTGCGGCGAGACACTCGGAGGACCACCAGCAGACGCAGCACCCCCAGGCTCAGCACCCTCAGGCTCAGCACCTTCAGTCGCAGCACCCCCATGCGAGGAAGCTCAGCCTCGTCACCAAACTCTGCGCGCCAGGCGTCGCTCAGATAGGCGAAGCAGCGGGACTGTGTGTGGCCAACTGTCCCGCAAGTCTGACCAGCCTGATCACCTGTGCGAATGACGTACGGGCAGCGAGCAGTACTCCGAGCTTACCACTCGCGGCGTTGCTGGGACGTAAGGGTCTCGCACGGACGCCGCTATAGCTGCATATGGCAACTGCCAGAAACTCCCCACTGAACAGCTCCACCGCGACTGCCACTACGGCCGCCGCCACCACTCCCACTGCTACCACGAAGAGAGGTCATCGCGGGCAAAGCAAGGAGGCGTGCGGTCAAGGAAGGGCAGCGCACGGGCAGGGAAGGGAGGCGCGTGGCCAGAGCAAGGTGGCGCGCTGCAAGTAGGGCGGCGCGTAGGCAGAGGAGGGCGCGCGCGGGCGGTGCGACGCAGGGGAAGGCGGGCGCGGGCCGCGCGACAGGCAGGGCAGGGCGTACGCACGGCGCGCGGGCAGGGCAGGGCGTACGCGGGTCGCGCGACGGGCAGGGCAGGGCGTACGCGCGGCGCGCGGGCAGGGCAGGGCGTGCGCGGGCAGCGCGACGCAGGGCAAGGCGTACGCGTGGGCGGCGCGACGCAGGGCAGGGCGTGCGCGGGCCGTGCGACGAGCAGGGCAGGGCGGACACGGGCTGCGCGATGCAGGCACGGCGTGCTCGAGCCGCGTGACGGGCAGAGGCGACGCGACGCAGGGCAGGGCGCGCGCGGGCAGCGCGACGCGGGGCAGAGGCGTGAGTGGGTGGGGCACGGCGCAGGCAGGGCGTGCGCCAACAGCGCGACGCAGATAGGGCAGGGCAAGGCAGCGCGACGGGTGGGGTAGCGCTACGCGCAGGGTACGATCAGGTGGGCCCTAACGAGAACGGTCCTGGAGCAGAACCTGCTCTGATCCATAAATAAATAAATGCATTGAGCAGAGAATGGTACAAGTATAACCCTAATTGGGTTGTACCCCATATTGGCTACCCCACTATAGCCTACACAGCATAATGTTCTGACAGTGAACAGTGACTTTCCCCCATCAAAATTGGAAGAAACCACTGTTCACGTAAGTTCCACAAAAAGTGAAATCAAATGTATTCAATCATTCCATATTCGTCGATAAGTACGGCGAATGGAACAATTGAACGGTCACTCCGCACGAATGACAACACCCAAAAAACACCAACTAAAAGAAAGGACCACACTTAAAAACACAAACCTATACTGATTTGACCACACACACAAACGCACACAAAAAACACATATAGGTGATACTAAATGTGTCAATGCTGCAACTGAGATTGATATGGTACGGAAGAGGCGAGCAAAGCTGCCCCACCGACGATCACAACCACAGTTGCAAACATGAAGCACTTAGTGTCAAATGTTGTAGCATGTAGTGAGGCTCGTCTTAGGGGGTACAAATGTTAGGGTTTGCTATATGTACCCCAACCCACATCAATGAATCATCATTCAGTTTCTGACATGGTATCAGCTAGGTTAGGATCCTGTGGGATCCCGCTCCTCCCGTCCACGTTCGTTCCGCCCGAGCCTGTCTCGTTCCGTGGTTCTAGTCGCGCCTATCTCGCCCGATCCTAGCGCCGCCCGTCTCTCAAGTTCGTTAGCGCCCGCTGCGCCTTCTGCGTAGCGTCGCGTCTCCCCCCTGCCCGTCCATCCCCCGCGCTTCCCCCTGCCCTTCCGTCCCCCGCGCTTCCCCCTGCCCGTCCGTCCCCCGCGCTTCCCCCTGCCCGTCCGTCCCCCGTGCTTCCCCCTGCCCGTCCGTCCCCCGCGCTTCCCCCTGCCCGTCCGTCGCCCGCGCTTCCCCCTGCCCGTCCCGTCGCCCGCGCTTCCCCCTGTCGTCCCGTCGCGCGCGCCTCCTCTGCCCGTCCGTCGCGCGCGCCTCCCTTGCCCGTCCGTCGCGTGCATCTCCCGTTACGCCCTCCCGTCGCGCCGCCGCGACCGCCCGTTACGCTCGTCGTGGGCCCTCCCTTCGCGCCGCCGCGCCTACCCGTTCGGCCCGCTACGGGCCCGCCCGTTCTCCCCTGCCGCGCCTGTCTATTACGCCCGTCGCGGGCCCGCCCCTTGCGCCCGCCGCGCCTGCGTTTTGCGCCCGCCGCGGGCCTGCACTCGCCGCCCGCCGTCCCTACCCATGCCGCCCGCCGCTCCTGCCAGTTGCGCCCGTCGCGGACCTCCCCGTGACACCCGCCGCGCCTACCGTTAGAGCCTTCCGCGTCCCTGCCCTACTTGCCCGCCGCGCCTGCCCTTTGAGCCCGCCGCGGGCCTACGTTCGTGCGCTTGCCGCGTCTTCCCTTTGCGCCTACCACTGCGCCCTGCCGGTCTTGTAGCTTTTGCTTTCGCAATGGCGACCCCTAGGGTCCTTTGCTTTGACGCCGAGGGTAGGCCCCTCGAGTTCTCTGTCTGGCTCCAGCGTGCGCAGCGTCTCCTAGAGAGTCAGGTTCAGGCAGATGAGTCCCTTTGGGTGCACGCATCCGGTGACCTTCCCGCCCCCCCCGCTCCTGCTACCCTAGGTCTTGACGCGACCACTGCGGACAGAAAGCGTGTTGCACATCAGCGTGCTGACCTGACTGCCTGGCGATCGCGCGACGCTGCAGCCTGCATCGCCCTCAGCAGCCTCCTCCCTGAGTCCGAGGAGACCCCTTTCGCACAGGTTTGCACGGCTCGTGAGTTTCTGACTGCGATTAAGGCTCGCTATGCTACTCCTTCCACTATCTCTCTTGGACGCCTGTTCCTCCCATTCCGGTTCCCTGACCTCGCCTTGTTTGAGTGCTCTGCTCACCTTTTTGCCCACCTGCGCTCGCTTGACGCTAGCTTTCACGCTGCTTGCACTGACGACCAGATTGCACTGCTGCCTCCCCCCATGGCGATCACTATCTATTTCATCGCCACTAGCCTCCCTGACCGCCTTGCTTCGGTTCGTGACGCGCTTCTTCTGAAGCACCCTAGCGAGCTCACTATCGGCGTCCTTGAGTCTGCTCTCAAGGACGTCGAGAGCAACCTCCGCTCGGTAGCCTCCGCCTCTGGTGCTGTGCCCCCTCCCCTATTTCAAGGGTGCACTGTCCCTCAGCTGCCCACCTTTACTGCCTCCCTCGCCACTGCTGCTACTGACGTGACCGCAGCTACTACTACGACTTCTTCGCGGTCCCGGGGTAGGGGTGGCAAGAGGAGCGATCAGGGTGCGGGCGGGGGCGGCGGAGGCGGCGGGGGTGTCGTGGCGAGCGGTGGCGGTGGAAGTGCAGCGGCTGGAGGAGCGTCTCGTGCGGTGGCCAATGACTCCCCTTCTACTGCCAGTGGAGGTGACGCCCGGCTTCGTCTGCCAGCCGCCGGGGGTGGAGCAGTGGCGTGGTACTTGACTCAGCGCCAGAAGCAGCAGCAGCCGCAGCAGCAGCAGCAGCAGCGGCAGCAGCTCTTGCCCCCGGCCCTTGTCCCTGCCCCCCGTCAGGTCCCCGTGTCTCACCAGGTTGCCGCGTCCCCCCAGGTAGCTGTGTCTGGTCAGGTTCCCGTGTCTGGTCTAGTTGCGGCGTCTTGCTCCTGCCGGTGTTTGTGGCGGGGACGCTGGGGTTGCCGGCTCTCGCGGTGTTGGGGTTGCAGTTGAGAGCGTACCTGTGCCGGGTCCTAGTTTTGGGGGTGCTGGAGTTGGAGCTGAGCCCGTGGCTGCAGGAGACTCTGGTCTTCCGGGGGCTGGTGTTGGTCGAGCTGACCCTGAGGGTACTATGAGTGGGGGTGCGGGTGCGCCCTCTGCGGGCCCTGGTGAGTCTGGCCGACTTGTTGCTGGTGGTACTGGCTCTGAGGGTGACGCGTCTGGTGCTTTGGAGAGCGGTCCTGGAGCTACCGCTGCCCCGAACACTACTCCTCCTCCGCACCCCTACCCGACTCGGCTTCAGGCTCATGTTCGCCGTGCGCGTGAGGAGCAGCTGGAGTTGGAGAGAGAGGAGAGGGAGTTGGAGCTGCTGCAGCAGCAGGAGCAGCAACAGCAGCCGCAGCAGCAGGAGCAGCAGCAGCAGCCGCAGCTGGAGGAGCAGCAGCAGCAGGAGCAGCGCTCGCAGCTGCAGCAGGAGCAGCTGCAGTCGCCCCCTCCTCCCCTTGTCTCTGGTCTTTGGACCCTCGGTCTCCCCTCTCGCTCTCCTTCCTCCTCCCCCTCGCCTCGTGTCTACGGTCCCACGTTTCCTCCTCCTGACTCTTCCCCAGCTATTTTCCCTCGTTCTTAGCCTCCGTTGTCCCCTCTTCCTTCTCAGACTTGGGCCTCTCGTCGCTCTCCTCGTGCTCGTCCCTCGTCTCCTGTTCTTGTTACCGACCTTCGTATTGCCCTCTTTCGTTCTAGTCTCGTTCGTCTCCGTCTCTACTTCCTTCTCCTCCAGAGTCGGCCCTCATTGCTTCCGTCTCTACTCTTGTCACTGACTACTACCACACGTACCGTCCTGTTCTCTCTCGTGTTCTCGCCTCTCTTGTTACCGACCCTCGTGCCTCTCTGTCCTCTGTCTCCGCTCTTACTGCCGCAGTCACTGAGTTTGCCTCTACTCGCCGCCTTGACTACGCCACCAGTTATGTGGCTGCTCCTCCTACCAGTCCTCTAGCCGTCGGAGGTGAGTCTGCCCTTGGCTGTGACGCCCTAGAGGATAGGCAGTTTGAGCTAGAGTTCCTGGCCGCCGCTTCCCCTCATCTCTGTGCCATGCTGCTCCTCGCACTTACGCTGAGGCAGTGTCAGGGCCTTGGGCCTCTCAGTGGAGAGCTGCCATGGATGCAGAGATGGCCTCCTACAGATCCACAGGCACCTACGTCGACGAGGTTCCCCCCCCCCTAGGGCGAACGTAGTTGATGGCATGTGGATCTACAGGGTGAAGCGGCCACCAGGATCTCCTCCCGTCTTCAAGGCGCGCTACGTGGCTAGAGGTTTCAGTCAGCGCGAGGGAGTCGACTTCTTTCAGACCTTCGCGCCTACCCCGAAGATGACCACTCTTCGGGTGTTACTGCACGTAGCAGCACAGAGAGACTACCAAGTCATCACAAGACATGGCAACACAAAAGGAGAGGAGCTCTTCCAACGGCTCCCAGGGTACTACACCTACTCCACCTCCTGCCTCTGGCCTACAGACAGAGGAGGGCACGGCAACAAGACCAGCAGCACCTTCAGCAAGTCAACCTGCCAGCTTCGACCAGAGCATGATGGAGAAGTTTTTCTCCTTCATGTCGTTTTACGAGCAACACCAGCAGTCAGCACCTGCGCAATCGAACAACAGCAACAACAACAACGATGTGACTCCCATGAGTCTCGACGGCTCATCATACGCGCGAAGAAATCAACAGCAGCAACCTACCTTTGCTCCGTACGAGCGCGGCTCCATCAGCTTCATGCCGCACCCGCAGCCTCCACCTGGACAAGAAAGACCACTGGACGCACTGCAAGTTCAGTCACAATTCGCGCACGTTTTAAAGCTGCAAACATCGAGACCTTTCGATGGAAAGGACTTCTTCACCTGGTCGTTCGAATTCGAGTTGATGATGGAAGGCGCACAGATACTTGGCTTCTTCGACGGGTCCCTGCCATACCCAACAAACGGCACACAGTACGAGAAGCAGCAGTATACTTATCAGTCAATGATGGCATATACAATCCTGCTGAGAAACATCACTCCGAGTCAGCAGCAGAACATTCGGTCTTACCGGGGATACGGCAACTCTGCCGAGCTCGCTTACAGCCACCTGAAGAACCTGTATCAAGCAACAGACAGCGTCAACCAGAGTCGGTTAATGGCGCAATGAAACCAGGCGAAAAGGGAATGGCGTATATCAGCCGCTGTCGCGAACTGCGCGACAAACTCCTTCGATGCGGAGGATCAATAGCCGAAGAAGCCTTCGTAACAGTCGTCATCGGTGGCCTCGGTCCTCAATGGCGTTCCACCCGAGCCATCCTCCGAGCTCACGGAAAAATCTCCGAAGCAGCACTCTGTGCCGAAATCCACGCCGAGCAGCAAGACATGGACCTGCAAGAAGAACGACACAAGAGAAAAACGTCAGTACCGGAATTCGCGTTCCACACTCAGCGACGCTACAACAACAACAACAACCGACAACAACAGAAACACGTACCTCCGTTCTGCCATATCTGCAAGACGTCAGGGCACCCGCGCACGCACTGCCCGAATCGACAACAGTCAACGCCACAACAGCGACAGCTTCGACCTTCAAGCAGCCAAGTTGCTTCAACGCAAGCGAATCCTACGACCCAGGTTCAAGCTTCAACAACACCAACGGGACAACCTGCACAAGGAGCAAGGAACATCGTCAGTTGCATGGCAAGATTGACCGACTCCTGCGTCACTGAATCACCGCCACATTACTCACCGGAAGAACAACTCGACAACAGCACGCCCCGCCGCGAGTCACTTCAACCGAACCCGACGTACGCAGCCATCGCTCAAAGCGAGCCATCCGGGAAAGATACCTGGTTCTTGGACAGTTGCTGCGGACAGCACATGTGCTCTTCAGGACGCTTCGTGCAGCGAGAGTATCAACTCCAACGAGAAGTAGTCATCACCGTCGCCAACAATCAAAATCTGCGCACACGACGACAAGGCGTAGTACACCTTCAGTCACGAGAGACAAACGTCATTCTACAGATGTCCAAGGTTTTAATTGCAGAAGGTCAGCGATCTTTGACCTGACAAAAACAGTGCGACAGCAAGGACACACAACCGACTCGCTACAGAGCGGTTGCCCGAGTCGTCACTGTATCAAACCGCAACAGCAAAAGCAGTTATAACTGTATCTCTTCATATTCCTTGTACTCTTATATAAATGCTTGTATCTCTTTGTTTTAATCAACTTACTTTGCCCTCACATACCAGCGCAAGGTGGTTCAAATCTCTTCATTAAACGCTTCCGCTATTACATCATCTCTACCCAGAGTTTACCCTTGCAAAGATCCTAAGGGCTGTCTCAGCCCAACACTAGGAATCTCTCTATAAAATCTCGTCGCTTTTATTGTATCGTCTTTTTGTAATTTCCCAGTCTCGTTATTCGTTATTCCCTGCGCACTCTGAAATTTCATTCATAACAAGTTACTTCTTCGCCTATTTCACAAACACCTCCCTCCAACGTCTTCCACGTTTATCCTCGACTTAGTCTACCTCACTATTCTTTAGCGGATTTAGGCCAAAGGGCCACGTGACAACCGGCTGCTCAAGCAGCCATCACAATCACGCACCAATCATCGCGCTTCCCCAACCGACTCAAACGCGCGTGGGGAAAAAAAGCCTTCGCGCACTGCAGCACGTCCTACTCCACCAGAAAAATGTACACCCTGTATTTGGTTGAAAACGAGCGCGCGCGGGGTGGAAATGGTGGATGTGTCCGAATATATTTAGACCCCAGTAAACCGTTGAGGGTATTGCCCTTTGCCCGTCATAAACGGGTGGGGGTGGATTGAATGGTGAACGCGCGTTTGTGGTGCTACAGTGTTCGAGCTCATTCCGTGGTTCACCTAGTGCTAGCGATCGTAAATGCCAACTCACGACCATGACTGTTTTGACTGGTAAACATCTAGGGAGGTGAACGACCGTTTACCTTCACCCCCGTGTACTGTGACTCGATGTTCGTCAGCCTTCTCAGAACCGCTGTAAACCACAGCTCGCAAGGTGCGTGGGTGTTGGTTGTCGAACTGTCAGTTACTCGGCTGTAACACGTAACAGTAACCAGTTAGGAAACAATTTCAAGTATTCACGTAGAAATATAAATTTTTTGTACGCAGTATAAGTCAGTCAGTAACTTGGTAACCAACACAACCAAATTGAGTCAATATCTACCTCGTTACCTGGTAACCAAAATGCTTGGAAGGTTACCAGTGAGTTTACAAGCAAATACGGCAATGCAATTTAGCTTGTGGTTATGAAACGTTTCATAATTTGGAATTAAATTAGTGAATTAATAATCAGCAAAAACACAGTCACTACCCTATTCCACCCACTACCCTATTCCAACCACCGAAGCTACGGAAACTCATTCTCAAATCCCTCAATCAGAATCCTAACCTGCCCCCTACCCAATTCAAAACCCCGAGGCTTATCCTGCTTGAAGCGGGCGGGATAGTCTCTTGCTGCATCCCGCAGAATGCCAACGAGCATGTTGATCTTGGCACGAACCGCATTGCGGTTCGTCGCGGGTACACCAGCCAACGAGGCCTGACCTCGTCCGTGGTAACTCTCAAGGGGCATTTCGACCTGCGCATTCATAAACAAACAATGCTTAATATGTAGCACAAACATGACTACCGTAGCTGAAGAACAGAACAGCAACTTACCACAACACAGAGGTAGGCGAGCTGGGGAATCTTAAGCTCCACAGAATTCACCCGCACATTGACGAAGGCAGCAAGGGCAGCCTTTTCAAAGGCGACGTTAGCAAAAGGGCGTCGATCGTCAGTTGCATGCCATGCGTAGCCAAACCTTTCTGCACGGTAAAAACATAACCAACAGCGAGGAAGAACATGAAAAGTAAAGAAAAGGGTAAGAAGAATTGACAAGTTGACGCTCACCATGCCTGAAGTCCACCAACCAGACAGCCTCAGTTCGACGCTTCCCGGGGTGGATGTTCTCTCTTGCTAACTCCGGCCACCGGTCTTCAGGGAGCAAGCCTCCTGCACCCCACGCGTAGAAACGGATCTTCTTGTGCGTGTTTGACCGCTTCGTCGCAATGATCTTCATAGCTTCCTTGATGTACGCGGCGTTTCCCCCGACGACGTAGTAGTACTCGTCCTGCGACACGCCGATGAGGCGATACTTCCACACGAGATAAGGCTGCACCTCCTCGAACGTTGGGAAGAACTGCATCACATCCACTGGCGCATCAATGATCATCCAAACGTACATATCGAGCGCCTTCTTCTGCGGGATGGTTTACACAATACAGAGAATGAAGTGAGGCGTTTTACACTTGTATGCACCGAAATCAACGAGGAAAAAAAACTATGCAGAGCACTCAAGAAAAAACGCTACTTACCCCGAATTCTTTTATCTTCAGGGAGCTCTTCACGACAATCTTTTGGTTGTCGTCCCGGGGGAGTGCATCCATGTTAACGACCGGGTCGTCAAGTGCCCGTTCCGGTAACCCTGACGACACAGTAGCCTCAAGGTCGTTGATGCGGTGCGTCAATGCGGACCGCTCCCTCGCCATGGCGTTCTCCTCCTCCTTGGCCTCCTGCTCAGAGGCTTGAAGAACCGTCACCGTCCTCTGCAGATCCTCAACCCGAGCGCGCAGTGAATTGTTGAGGGTTACGAGGTAGTTTCCCCCTCCTGCCAGACACAACAAAGGGCGGAAACATGGTGAGAAGGGTCCACAAAGGCATGTGGTGCAGGCCCAGAAGAGTTGCGTTGAGGATAAACGTCGAAATACAACGCATGATTAAACAAGGTAATAAAATGAGAATGGAGCTATAAAAACTCACGATCACTACGAGTTCCGCGAGTGATGTTACCACCCGTAGGATCAGTGACCTCGTTCACAGCTGAATCGCCTTGCAGGCCCACCGTTGCCTGCTGGGCGACGGCAGCTTCCACATTAGCAGGAGCGCGGATGATTCCAACACCGCCCGGTTCGGTGGCGTCCGCATCGAAGGTAAGCGAGCTCTGAGGGTTGGCCACGCAAGCAGGCATTGTTTGCGTGGCGGTAGCCGCAGCCGCAGCTTCTAGAGCTGTCTGCCGACGGGTAGCGTAGGGAGCAGGAGCAGGTAAGGGTGTGGGTGTCGGGAGACTCTCGATATGCTTCTTCTTGGGACAACTCTGCTCTGCAACAGCTTCGCGACGCTTGAATGCTAGGCGATAGAGGGCGAGCGTCCTCTCATCCAAGCCAGCCAGCAGGGCATCAGCATCAGCATCAGCCTCATTTTCAGAAACGGGAATGGCAAATGGCGATTCTAGCGTGACCCCTTCGAGCTCCCCTCCATCTCCTTGGACTCTTCTTGTGATTCCATTCCCTGCCCAATTACTAGTTCCCACGGGGGAACCCATTTTTTACGACTGGTAGGGAGTCGATGTACCCCTATACATCACCATTTATCGCCATATACTTGCGTCTCGACTACCGAGTCGGGCACGTAAACGATCAGAAGCGCTCGTGACCGAGGGTAACGAATGCCATTAAAAAAAAAAAGACCCGTTACAGCAACGACACCTCGGGCCGATGGCGCGCCGTCGCTGGAAAAAAACTGGTGCGCTGTATGGGCCATGGGCACCATTCAATGCCTACCGTGGATGATGACAGGTCAGGTTGGAGCATGCTCCTGCTGTGGTTGATGCAGGCACTGGGGCAGTCGAGAATGTTCTGGTAAGTGTGTGAATTGAACCGCGTCGCTTTTTGATCTCAACCCTTCGTGTTACATCCTCGCATCCCTACCACACACTCACATCACAAGCCCCCACCACCTTCCACGTTCTGTGATTGACGTTCTTAGTTCAGGTGCAGCGCACTTAGCGAGCCAGCAGGGCTGCGCTGGTGCGCCGCTCTTCATCTCTATTGGTGCGCATGAATTTGAGTCATCACATTTGCGCTCGGCAGATGCAGCGCTGGCACGCGCGTGAATGGTGATGTAAACATTCTCGATACTATACCTTTACATTAGAGGCGCCATGCACGAATTTCACATAGGGCTTAGGCACTGCATTAAATTGTTATCTATGACTGTAACGCACACGCAACAATGGTTAAACAGTTACGCCTGGATACATCATACACATAGAATGTGTGATGCCAAAGTTATTTCAATATCCTGGTAGATTAAAGACCGCGGCCCAAATTGCGGAGCACGCGGGTCACGCTTTTAAAACTTGACGAAGTAGTGTTTGCAAGCTTGGAATAGAAGAGCACATGCAATTCGAAACTTTTGGGGACTGAACCAACCCCCAGAGCGAAATAACACAACAGGCTGGGTTTGGCGAAGAAAAAGAAAACCAACCAAGCAAAAAAAAAAAGAAATCTGAATCACTCGCCAAAACCCAGACCAGAAAAACCCCCTCGCGTCAACCTTTTAAAACTTGTGCAATTTGGGCTGCCGGCTTTCAGCATTCATACAAATGAGTGTGTTTGCACATCAGTACCTGACAATACGTTTCACCACTGTGAAAGTAATTTCAGTAATCTCCAAAATGTCTTCATTACACCTTAAAGAAAGTTAACGGTCCAAATGTGGCATTCATTACTTGCTTCTATGTATGGGAAGTCAGCTGATTATCAAGTGTGAACGGCTTAACAACGGAAGGATGTGTAGATGGCACAAACAAGTATCTAATCTTATAAATTGAAGAAAGCACCATGCGTCGCACATGCTTGTCCTAAAAAAAAAATTTGGTTGCTAAAAAGTATGAATTGCGCTGTGGGTACAATGGAGTGAACGAGCAAGAATTGCGCTCTCCGAACAAAACAGTACATTAAGCGAAGAATATTTAGCGAGCCAGGCGTGATAATGATATCGCAAGAATTTGGCTGGAGTAATAATGTAAAATGATTGAGAATTTTAAAAACATGCAGGTACAATCAAATAAACAGTAGTACAAGTGAATACTAGACGTCTTAGCTAGCCATGTACTCTAAGTGGTACCATCCCTTATTCTAATCGCGGACAACAGGGGTCGCGAAATAATGTGAAATGATTGTAAATATAAAAAACATGCGGTTACAAACTTATAAATAGTAGTACAGGGAAACACTCGACCTCTTGTCTAGCCACGTACTCTAAGGTGTTCCTTCCCTTATTTGAATTCACACTCAACCGTGCGGCACGAACAGTTACAAAACTGTTCCCGCCAATTCCCTCGCTTCTGCGGCTGCCCGATGCCACCTGCTCCGACGGTCCAGATGCTCTCCAATTGTTCGCGTCGCTTCAAGTCACTCTTCGTGTCCTGCCTCGGTACTGAGTGCTTTCTTTGCTGCTGTCAGAAGTGCACAGTATTCTTTCCTAATTTTCCCATTCGTAACACCCCCACTGTACTCCTGACCATAGCTCGACTACCCCGCTGGGTTCGGAGCAGTGCTGTGTCAGAATCCCAGCCACTAACCACTGGGATAAAAGGGCTTGTTTGTGTAGCGGGTGAGTGCGCCCATAACCCCCCAGGCCAACGTGCCTGTAACCCTTCCCTAGGATCAATCGGGGATCACCAGTGGACCTCTGACACCCCCCCGCACTGGGATGCCCGAGGTGCACACACCGGGATTCGAACCCGAGACCTTCGCTCTGATACCATGTCAGAAATAACTGAGCAGGAATGAATGAACTAGAACAGAGTGTGGTACAAGTAGGAAACCCTAACTTTGTGTACCCCCTAAGGTGTAACCCACTACAGCCTAGACAATATAAACATGCAATGTTTGACATGCTGGTACTGTCGACGTGCACTTAGGTGCCGGAGAGAATCATTCTCCCACTTGTCGGAGAGAATAATTCTCCCCTTGGATTACTGCTCAATCGACGAGCACGTAGGTGTCGCAGGATTCGATCGTCCTTATTTAAGCGTCCATTAACTGGCGCGGGTTCTTGGGCTCGTTGCCACCTGGCGCGGTTGAGGTGGCAGCGTGGAGTCCTAACAGCTCCAATCCTGAGACGGTGCTATATTGGCGATGCGGCGGGGTGACCTCCTGCACGTCATCGTCACCACTTTCTGGTTCAGAGTTGCGGTGGTGGCGCATGACGTCGCGCGCATTTGCGACATTCTGGCCGATGAGGGCCAAGATGAGCGACGCCTAGTGTTACGAATAACGAAATATGATTGTCCACTCCTAACCGCAGCAAAGCGAGGCACACAGTATCGAGGCACGAATGAGAAGCGTCAGAGTTGACTCGAAGGAGCACAGACAGTTGGAGTGGATATGGACCGTCGGAGCAGATGGCATCGGGCAGCCGCAGAAGCGAGGGAATTGGCGGGAACAGTTTCGTAACTGTTCGAGTCGCACGGTTAGGTTTCGAATTTTATTGAAGGAATGTACCCCTTAGAGTGTATGGCTACCTAAGTCGCTTCGTATTCCCCTTGTACCACTATTTCGTTTAGACAAATCTGACCGCTGAAGAGTAATCCAACCTGGCTGCGACAAACGAGGAAATGTCGACGATTGGAACCGCCGTCCTCGCACAACTGCTTCAGCGACTCACCAGCCTGGAGCAAGGACTCCAAACATTGCGGAACGGCTTAGCGGGAACATCCTCCCAACCATCTCAACCGGCCTCGAATGGCCAGAACATCGCCCCCCACACCTTCCCCCTCGACACAAATGGCTCAACACCCAAGACTCCCCGTCCCAGCGAAGAAGCAATTCGGTTGTGCAAGTAAGGTTTCTCGAGCCCCACGCGCTGGGGAATCGACATTGGCATCAGCCACGAGCATAATGCGTGGATCATCCTGAACTTACTCAGTCAGAGGACCACCCACGCGCGTGACGTCATTTTCTATGAACGACTCTTCCTCGAGCAATTCCGCCATGATGAGCATACGAACGCGAATCTCGTTTACGCGGCTGTCGGTCACAGCTATGCAACACCTGAGGACGAAGCCGCTATAGCGATCCTCGAGCAGGACACCAGAGGCGAGTTCAAAAGAGGAGATCGCCACAGCAGCGTCGATAACAACGATGTTTCCCCTGAGGAAGGAATGGGCGGAACAGGAGGAAGCGGCAGAGGCGCAGCGCCACCAGCACCACCTGAACCAGAGAGTGACGACGATGGCGTGCAGGAGGTTTTCCCGCAGCATCGTTACGATAGCACCGTCTCTGGGCTGCAGCTTTTTGGGCTCCACGCCGCGACCTCAACAGCGCTACGTGTCATCGAACCGATGAACCCGCGCGAAGCACTCACTAGGCCACACATCTAGGAATTGCGCGAGGCGATAGATGCGGAAATCAAGAAGCTCGAATCCCGAGACACCTGGGTGCTCGTCGACCGCGAAACAATCAAGGGAGCAAGGGTTCTTTCCGGAACATGGGTCTTCTGTATGAAGACCGCGGCAGACGGCACGATCGAACAGTCCAAGGCACATTGGGTGGTGCGAGGACACGACAAGAGGCACGGCGCCGATTTCGATCAAATGTGTGCGCCGGTCAGCCGTCACACCTCCGTCAGATTCGTGCTCATCGTCGCCGCGGCAAGGCACCTACCACGCGCCAAATTGACGTGAACAACGTGTTCTTGTATGCGTTAGTAGATGCAGTCATCTACGAGGAACTGCCGCACACGTACGGAGGAGACTCGCAAGTATGTTGCGGAGATTCACTCTACAGCGGTAGTGAGCTAGACTACGGGGGTTGGCACAAACTGCTAGGAGAGATCGTAGCCTTGCTTAGTTTCTTGGTGCTTGCACATTCATTGGAGAAATCGGCAAGAGTTTCCATTAGCAAAGTTTGAATTACAGAATGCTAGAACAAGCAATGACAGAATGACTACATCAGGCACCTAGCAACTCTCCGGCTAGCCAGGTCGACCGCCAGCACTGCAGGGTCGACCGCCTGCCCGCGTTACGTAGAGGAGCCGCGCCAGCACCGCATAAAGGCGACTTGCCAACACAGCAGGTCGACGGCGTGAAAACGCTGCAGCAGTGGGGTTATCCAGCGTTGCATTTGTAGATGGTAGCAGTGCGTACGCTCGCAAGCGTGCGCAGATAATTGGCCCTACTTGCACCGTTGTGCATCCGTCGGCTGTTGTCTGCGCAGGCTACCTGGTCGACCTGGTCGACCACCAAGTGCTCTGGTCGACCACCAGTGCCTCCGGTCGACCACCAGGTGCCTCTGGTCGACCACCAGGTGCCCCTGGTCGACCACCAGGTGCCTCTGGTCGACCACAGCTCCCGTAAAGCTACCCCCCTGGTCGACAGGCCCCGTCTATCGACCAGAACTGTTAGCTGTTGTCGCCGAGCTCCCGTCGTCGACCGCTGCTCGACGGTTGGTTGGTGGCTATCTGACAATCTTCGTCTTCTACCTTGGAGCCAACGCTAGGTCACCTCATCGAATTCACCGTCCCGCCGCATACAACAAGTGCGCTCAACCGAGGGCGAGGCCATGCACTTCGAGTCAAAATACGAAAACGCGTGAAACTAACCAAGAAACATTGATAAGGCTGCCAAAATTACGGTGGTAGTTTGGCACAATGTGTTACCCTGCGTGCGCAGCAACAACAGCGTGTTCATCCACCGAGTTCCCCATTTAGTTTCCCTTGCTACACAATTTATGAATATAAGACCCTTCACTAGGGTACTCATGGTTCCCTTGCTACCTGACTCCGTGCTTGGCCAGGTTCTTAGCCTCCCATCTTCTACTGGCCTCCCGTTACAGCAAGGCTGCCCACTGCCTGCTCCTTCTCCCTATACTGCGCAGACAGACTCGCTTACAGAGCGTCGTGAGCCTGCGTCTCGTCCTGCCTCGCCTGTTCGCGCTGTTCGCACTGGCCGCCGTGTTCCTTGTTCGCGTCCTCCTCCTGTCCCCAGCACTCACACTATGACACTTCGTCCTTCCTCTGTTCCACAGCGTGTTCCCCTGCCGTCTCCTCCTGCGTCCTCTCTTCCGCACGTTCCGGACCCTGAGTCTGACCTGGTTCGTGCTGCCAGCCCTACTGTCACGCGTCTCCTAGCCACTGTTGTCACTGACCCGTCGTTTGAGTCCACTGCTGCGTCTGCCTTAGATTCTGAGCTTGTGGACTTTGCTGTTGCGTGTCGTCTAGACTACGCCGCCAGTCTTGTTGCTGAGTCTGAGTCTGTGTGTC